TGGCTTCCCTCGACAAAAAAGCAATGAGATTTCTCCATAGGATTTTAGAAAATAGCTCGAAATAAGATCTGTGGGAAACATACCTGTTAGATAAATGCACGTTTTGTTCAGCCGGATAATATCCACGTCTACCCTACTTTTATAATTTTCGAATCATAAATCTATCGATTAGATTTATGATTCGACTTTTGAAACTACAAGAAGATAAGGAGGACTTTTACAAAAAAAGTAACAGAGATGTTTGTCCAGAAGGATAGGCAAATGGACTTCATCTTCAAGTCAAGGTAAGACCGCCATTGTATTGAAAATTGGATCTTACTAAGAGAGAACAATTCAATATTTAAATGATAAAATTACATTTTTTGGGTATCCTTTAGTTAAACTGTCTGTTTAAAAGTAATCGAAGCATCAGACTAAAAAAGCTTTTGAAAATAATACTATATTTTGATTTAGGTCAAATATAATATTTGTAAACCTGAAGAGTCAGTGCCAGTGCCTCAGCAGCCATGAACCTCACTGCACGTCACTGCAGAAGCTTATATAAACATCTACGTTTTTTGTGCCCCACCACTTTTGTACATATAAAAACGCCACTGTGAATATGAGAGCAAAATGTATATGTGTGAGTGAAACATATAAATATGTGAGTGACAATGTATGAATGTGTGCATTGAAATATGATAATATGAGAGCAAAATGTATGAATGTGTGAGTGTAAATATATATGTGTGTGAGAGTGAAAATGTATGTATGTAAAAGGAGAATGTATGTTTGAGAGGGAAAATGTATACCTAAAAGGAGAATGTATGTGTGTGAGAGGGAAAATGTATGTATGTAAAAGGAGAATGTATGTGTGTGAGAGTGAAAATATATGTATGTAAAAGGAGAATGTATGTGTGTGAGAGGACCAGTATGAATTACGGCCTGTACAGCCCCTCATAATATAATGGTATTTGGAATGAAATGTATTGTGATGAAGATCTCCATGTTATCACTTTCTTTTCTTGGTTTTGTGATCTCATGGAAATAACAACACGGAAATTAAAATCAGAGCTCTCTTTCACTCAGGTATTCATAATATGTTAACATCATTCATGATGACTCACTGTTTGATTTTTTTGTACAGATAATCAAAAGTGATTGAATTGTTGATTTTTGTACACTTTTTGTCCTCAGATTGTAGACATGTCTGCTGCCGGATTTACAGGAGCCACAATGACCCATTGTTTAACTTTGAACAAATAATACAAAACATACTAAATAAAAATCTTGTTTTGCACACTATTTCAGAGTGAAGATATGTCGACTGTCATCTTTCTGCCAACTGAAGATCAGTTGCTGTGCTCCATCTGTCTGGATGTGTTCACTGATCCAGTCACCATACCATGTGGACACAACTTCTGTAAAGCCTGCATCTCTGAACACTGGGATAGAAATGTCCCATTAAAGTGTCCCAACTGTAATAAGCTCTTTTTCCCAAAACCTGAGCTGCTGGTCAACACTTTCATCTCTGAGATGGCTGCTCAGTTCAGACAGTCAGCTCAACAGAAAGCCAGCAGCAGCAGCTCAGAGCAATAAGTAGTCAAACCAGGAGAAGTTCCCTGTGACGTCTGCACTGGAACCAGACTGAAGGCCCTGAAGTCCTGCCTGGTCTGTCTGGAGTCCTACTGTGAGACTCACCTGGAGCCTCACCTGACAAGGGCAGGCCTGAAGAAACATCAGCTGATGGACCCTGTGGAGAACCTGGAAGGCAGGATGTGTGTGAAGCACGACAAACTGCTGGAGCTGTTCTGTAAGACCGACCAGGTGTGTGTCTGCATGCTCTGCACTGTTTTAGACCACAAGACACATGATGTTGTTCCTCTGAAAGAAGAAAATGAAGGAAAGAAGGCTGAGCTGGGGAAGACAGAGGCTGAAATTCAGCAGATGATCCAGAAGAGACGACTGAAGATTCAGGAGATGAATCGCTCAGTGGAGCTCAGTAAGGAAGGAACATACAGAGAGATAGCAGATGGTGTTCAGTTCTTCACCGCTCTGAAGGAGTCTGTTGAGAGAAGCCAGGCCGAGCTCATCGACACCATCAAAGAGAAGCAGAGAGAGACAGAGGAACAGGCTGAAGGCTTCATCAAAGAGCTGGAACACGAAATCTCTGAGCTGAAGAAGAGAAGCTCTGAGGTGGAGCAGCTCTCACGCTCTGAAGACCAGCTCCACCTCCTCCAAAGCTTCACGTCCCTGAACGCTGCTCCACCCACCAAGAACTGGACAGAAGTCAGGGTCCGTCCACCTTCATATGAGGGGACTGTGAGGAGAGCTGTGACTCAGCTGGAGGAGACGCTCAGTAAACAGATGAAGAAGCTGCTCCCTGAGGTGGAGCTGAAGAGGGTCCAGCAGTATAAGGTGGATGTGACTCTTGATCCTGATACAGCACTTCCCTATCTCATCCTGTCTGATGATGGAAAACAAGTGAAAGATGGTGTTGTGAAGAAGAATCTCCCAGACAATCCAGAGAGATTTGATTTGTGTCCTTGTGTCTTAGCAAAGCAGAGTTTCTTTTCAGGAAGATTCTACTACGAGGTTCGGGTTAAAGGGAAGACTAAGTGGGATTTAGGAGTGGCCAGAGAGTCGATCAACAGGAAGGGAATCATCTCAGGGACTCCTGAGGATGGTTACTGGGCGATAGTGTTGAGGAATGGAAATGAGTACCAAGCTCTTGCTGATCCTCCAGTCCGTCTCTCTCTGAAGTCTCAGCCTGAGAAGGTGGGGGTGTTTGTGGATTATGAGGAGAGTTTGGTCTCCTTTTATGATGTTGATGCTGCAGCTCTGATCTACTCCTTCACTGGCTGCTACTTCAAAGATAAACTCTACCCATACTTCTGTCCCTGTAACAACGATGGTGGTAAAAACTCTGCCCCTATGATCATCTCTCCTGTCAATCACACTGAGTAGAACAACCATTTGATTTTCAACAGAAAGATTCACTCTCACCAAATGTAATATACTGCATGTATATCATTGGGGAAGTGCATTGTATATATTTTTGATGTTTTAGCTTCTGATTCTGTCATTTTGAATACGAAGAATTAACTTAGTCCTTGAATGTATGGGTGTTAATCTCCAAACTTTGTATTAGCTCCTAATCATATATTATATTTTAAATATTGTAATTTAGGGGAACCTGTAAGAGATTGTTATCTGGTTTATTTCAGGGCACATTTAAGGATTATTTTTTTATTTATATTTTTACACTTTTTTTGGAACATTCTGATTGTATAATATTCAGCTGCAGTGGTTTTACAAAGCGAAGAAGAAAAAGTGGTGTTTCAATCTGTTATTTTCATTTCATATTGTCCAACTCTCTACAGACTATTTGTATAGTTTAAACATATTCTCAATTAAATAAAAAGCTAAATAAATTTCCCCTGGATTTCTGTCTTCATTGTTTTGTTTCCCTCTCAAGTAATTTACAAATACCTCAAATGAATCAAGAAAGGTGAAAACGTGAAGGAACTTTAGTCAATTTAAAATATGGGTAAAGCTAATGACATTCAAAGCTGGAAAAACCATTGGGCTGCTGTTGGTAAGAGCTGCCAGGGAAGAGGGTTTGAATCCAGAGGACAATAAACATTGTAAGTAATGCCATCCCCTCTTTCTCCTCTTTTCAACCCTGCATCTCTAATGAAGTCACTATCTGGCCCAAAACATATCTTTAAAAATAAATAAATAAATCAGCACTGACTTTACCTGCTGTCATTTTTAAATAATTAAAAAAATATGAATCAATAATTATAATCCAACATTATTTTGAAATGGGCCATTGTGCAGAAAGATTACTTTTTACTTTAAATTAAAAAGTAGAAAGACATAGAGATACTCTATGTTTGAGATCTGAGCATAGCAGCAAAACTGAGGGCTGATTCTAGGCAGCCCTAACTTTGAGCTTTATCAAAAAGCAAAGTCTTAATCCTAATCTTAAAAATGGATAAGGTGTCTTTAGCCCGAGCACACACTGAGAACACAGATGAGAATAAACCCAAGTCCAACATGCCTTCTGTTTAACTGAAAAACAATAGTTTAGTATGTATACATAATTTACGAGAAAGAAAAGGATATCTTCCCTTTATAAAGTATTAATCAACTGTTAAGTGCATCTGTAAATAACGCTGATGTAGAAACATAAAAGGATGTCACAAGAGCTGGTGACCTGGTGATACCCTTTATGTAAAATATGATTGTCGATATATAAAAACCTTGATATGTGGAAGGATGAGTAGGAGGGATTCATTGCAAAATGATCAAATGTGGACAATTATTAAAAAAATTGTCACATAAAAAAAAACAATATTATTGTTACTACTTTTCTGGGATAAAAAAGCATGTTGCTGTTTTATGTATGTCACCGATTTTTTGATCTGGTTCTCCTTAATTGTATGAACTAAACGGCATTGTCAATTACGATTTGAGGTAAAAGATTTTATTTGTTTTTGATGTATCAGAAATATATTTCTGGTCAGTCCGTGGAAACCAAAAGCTGTAATGTCTTTTCCATACAGCCATAATTTATTATATAATGTTTATTAAAATCCAAACCTGATTTTTCTAAACATTAACAAGTAGTGTTTCAGTGTTTTCAACAGTTACCTTGTGTTTAAAACTGGAAGTGTAATACAGGAGAACATAGTTTACCTTGAAAAGGAATTGCAGTTTAGTTTAATAGGAAAGATAATTGTATGGAAGAGAAAGGAAGCTAAAGTGAAGGAAGTAGAATATTAAATTGTTGCCCCTAAAATATCTTAAATACAAATCTAAATCAAGTTAATAATGTTTTCTTTTCTCTCTTTCAGTCAACTGTAGAATTTCAGCTCCAAAACACAGAACAACTTAGTCATTTAAACTCTCTGAGATTTATGGTATTTGTAGTCTTTGCAGCAGAAAGGATTATGGGGGTTAAAGTGTTGGTGGTGTCTCAACCGTTGGAGAAAGAAAGGCCTTGTTGCTCTTGTAGTTCCTCCTCCACTCCCTCTTGGTGACGGGCCACTGAGAGGTGGAGCTACACTGAAATAGGAGAGCTTCAACTTCCCAGAAATGAAAGTGAAAGTTTGTCTGAGCGACAGAACAGCGGCACGTCTCTCTGCTTCTCTCTAAAGAAACACTCGACTGAATCCAGCAGCTTTTCTCAACAACACAGCAGAACTTATTCCAAATACTGGTGAGTGCACTACAGACACAATCACTAACTAAATATTTGAACAAGGTTTAGTTTAATCAGAATCTGAGGCTGGTACGTCTGTTCAGACATATACTAAATATTAGGCCGTATAAATGTGTCTTTTAAGATCAAAACGTTTACATTTAGACTTGAGTACAAAGCAGATTTAAAACCAAACCCAGTGACTCAACTCTGGCTAGTGAAGTTTAGACAGGGTAACGTCACAGCTAGCATTAGCTTAGGCTAATTTCCAGACCTGTTTCCTGTATGAACTCAAAGCCTCAGCTCTGCTCAGACAGGAAGTGCCACTCAGCGCCACAGCCAGGGAAAATGTTTAACTTAAATATTACATATATTTTTTCTGCATTTCTGATTCTCCTCTTTTTCCTCTTTGTCCAAGCTGACTCACTGACACTTACTCTCCCTCAGACGCTTTAATACAACAAGTAATACATATAAATCATACCAAAATACATTACATCATATAATAATACATGTCTTAGGGTCAATATTAAAAGTACTCAAGCTGCTTTAAATACCGTTTTCCCTCTAATAACAATATAAGCAGCTATGTCATATGAGCAGGGTAGCAGTATTATGATATTGATTGATGTGTAATGTGACAGTCATGGAGGGATCATTGTGTTTTTAATGGTTTTCCATTTTACTTTATTATGATTTTACATATCAAAGTGCTGATATAAACAAGGAACAAGGCTTTAGATTTAACCTGTTAAGCACCAAGCCTGTTTTTCATGTTTCAGGCTCGAAAATGACATGCCCAAAACAAATGACTACAACTTAACTTATAAAAGGGTTATATGAATAAGTTATTTTATCAAAGCAAGGTTACATCTGTGAGTTGGATGTAGAAAAGTCAGAATCAATATAGATGTTTTTTATTTTAAAGAAAATTCAGATTTTACATAGTAAAAAACTGTAAATTATAGTGTCCGTCCAAAAATTATTTTTTACAGATAGTGAAAACTACCCTTGGATGATGGGTTAGTAGACTAAAAGCTTTAGGAATCCAAAGTACAACATATAATAAGTACCCTGTATCAAGATTGATGCAAAACAAGTGACATTTGACCTTTTTAGAGAGGTTTAGCCAAAACCACCCCACCTCTGAGGTGATTTGGGTGAAATTTTTTTTTTTTCCATATCTCTGTCCCCCCTTGGTCGATTTGGATGGTTGACACCTCTTTCTGACCGTTAGAGCCAATAGAATCGAAGGGGGGAGGGGAAGGGCATTTGGAAACGAAAAAGCAGTTTTATTGCTTATGGATTATCAGAAATCATTTCAAAGACGACACCAGGGCTCGAGCTTAAGGACGTCCCGTCGTCCCGGGGCCGAAAAAAATAGGGTCGGGGAGGATAAAAAATAATCTTGGGACGAATTTGGGACGAGAGTTAAAATAAAAATACCCTGATAACTCTACTACAGTACGAACGGCGATGAAAATGAAACTGACTGCACGTTTTGTGTAGCACACAGTTATTAAACCTCCTTGTCAACATAAACACACACGCACAAAACATTTAGCAAACCGCGAAATACACACACACACACACACACACACACACACACACACACACACACACACACACACACACACACACACACACACACACACACACACACCACACACACACACACACACACACACACACACACACACACACACACACAGCTGTGCCCGCAAACTCCTGGCCCGCAAATTATTGGGTCTAGCTATGTACTGAGTGTGTGTATTTCGCGTTGAGTGATGTACAATGACAATGGCATCCCGTGGAGGAATTCTGCAATTGTTTACGTTACATCACGAAAACGCACAGCAGAACCTAACCCTGGAGCGCCGGCCTCTTTATTTACTAACTCCTCTTCATCCCCTATGGGTAATAAGGCTGAGATGAGAACTCTCCATCGTATTTAGTCCTTAGCAATATGCTGCGTCTCTCCCCATGTAGGGATGGGTACCGAGCCCCGGTATTAAACGGGCCCCGGGCCGGAATTATTAAAGACAGTGGTAGCGTTAAGCTCCGACGTTATCTGACTTTTTATCGGTAGTGGAGACATTTAAAACATATATGTCATGTATTATTGCTACATGAACATTATATCGCAGTTTTAGTTTCGCCAACTCCGTTTCTAATATGCAATAAGTCTACAAAATGCGTCTATGATGTATTTTCGATCTTATTTTCGATCTTTCCAATCCAGACGAGAGAGCTCTCTCCCCCTCTGTGTGCGAGGGGGCGGGGCAGTTTGTAAAGGTCTCCTGACTGTGTTACAGACTGTCATCCTGGTTAGTGGTTACTCTGGGTTCTGTCTTCTGTCTTCAGGACAGAGTGTTGGATGTTTTTGATAATTGGATAGAACTTGATTGGATTCAATATTAGAGTAACTTTCTCGCTTGTGTGTTTTTTTTAAATATATTTGGCCTTTGTTTATGTGTTTGACTGATTTACTCAATTAAAAAGGTTGATGAATTATCATCTAATGATTTGTATGATGTTTTATTTATGTTAAAGGTCACTTTGAATGATTTTAACTAATGATAATGTAGAAAAACTAATATTTTAAATTCGGGACGGTCCACATTAATTTCGGGACGGCTTAGATTGTATTTCGGGACGGTTCCGGGAGGATGGTGAAAAAAGTTAGCCGAGAGCCCTGGACGACACAGACATATTGGATTAACCTATGGATTAACTGCAGCATCGTTTTTTTATCGTTCTAATGCCATTGAAGACCAGTTTTGACCAAGGTAAGCCATGTTAGCGTTTCTAGCTACCTAGCTCCACATGTTATGATGTACGCTTTCGTTTATAGCGTCGCAAATGTTTATCACTGAGTGTTGAGGTGGGCACCCCCAGATTCTGTGTCTCCAGGAGACCCAAAACGAGGGTTTGGCTGTGCATCTAGGATAAGTAATAAGGGAGTTAGAGTGAGTTTAGGTGCAGAGATAGGTTACATTTTTTCGCTCGTGGCTAATTCAGAGGCTGAGTGTTAGCATTGTGGGATTTTTTTGGAAAAAAAAATTAAAAAGATCAGTTAGCTGAGTTTCTTCCCGTTACATGGATATAAAACATTCATAGTTTATAAAATATTAAGATTCCTTAGACGTTGTTTCCTGCAAATGACGCGTTTATCCGCCCGGTACCGGGGGGGCCGTGCGTAACAGGTTAATGACTGCAACAATATAAAATATTAGTTTATTATTGTTTTCATGTATTATTAGGAAATGTTTTTACTTTTATTCCAATAACTAACAAGCAGCTAAATGCTACAGCTATAAAAGTGACTGGCAGCATGCAGTGAGAGGCCGCCTCAAGAAATGATGTAAATACGATAAAACCCTTTGCAAAAATAATCTAAAGTAGTTTGTGAAATCCTTGATTCTCCGTAACCGCCCCAGTCTCCAGCTAAGCTAAATGAAACGTTTTCAGACTTTAAAGGGCCCATGTCATGGCCATTTCCACTGATCATAATTACATTGTTGAGGTATACTAAAATAGATTTATACTGTGCAATTTTCCAAACTCACATTGGTTTCGCATACAGCATCTCTGTCAAGCATGTGTATTCAGCAGTATTCACTTTCTCCACTAAACGACTCGTTGGAGCTCTTGCCCCCCCCTCCCTGTGAGCCTAGTGTGCTCCGATTGGTCAGCTCGGCCACTCGTTCTGATTAGTCAACCACCAGAGAGGCTGCGCCCATGTCAGTGCTTTTCCCGGCTGCTCTCAGCGTAACATCAGTCTTATCATGGCGTCGGCACAGCCGTATATTTTATATACATATATATTTTTAACTGTTGTTATAGAAGAGTGTGACGGCCCCAGGGCCTTTGTCTTACGATGGGGTGGAGCTGAAGAGGCTAATCAGCACGATCACGGACACTTCCGGACACTACGGCCCCAGTCTCTCTCCAAAGCGGCTGCAGGAAGACTAACTCTGCGATCCTCTCAACCACCTATCTCTGCATTTACCACAATAAATGTGCCGTGGTTTTGTAAACTCGTGTATGTCTCCTTGTCTTTGTGGCCTACGAGCCGCTCATAACAAAGAGTAAGTTATTTTTACCCGTTATAAACTACTACTGTTTGATGAGAAATCAAATCATGGTTTGCTATATATGAATTCAGGGAAGAAAGGATAGGCCTACTAAGTATTTCCATTAAACTTTATTTTTAGAAATGTACAAAATGAACATAAATATACATATATACACGGTATATCATCCATTCCTCCTCCTTGCATCTTGCCTGCGCACAGTCGGTGCGGTGCCTTTTAGCACGACGCCTCAGTAGTAGTAGAAGTGCCTTTTAGCACATCATGGATTGTCCGCCAGGATCTGGCTGGACGAAATCAAATGCAAATCACAAAATATTAGAGAAACTTAGTTGTTTTAGATTCGTTAGTAGTAGTTGTGTAATGAACAGCTTGCCTGCTAATATGCTAACCTAGCTTTGTTTACCTTGGTAGCTAACACGATATGAACGTTAGCTTGGAGGAAAGGCAACTATAATGCAGTGTAATAAAACTACTATGAACAAAAGCTAGTGGTTCATATTAGGCTAGCAATAACGTGTTTATAATTGCAATCGTATACGGGTATTCTGCTACCATACAATGTAACTTGCATGAATACATTGTTTTGCGCTAGCATACAGCTAGCCTCGTTAGCTACATGCAGTATATGTACGGTCACAATGTACGGTAAATCACAGTACAGTATACTGTATGAGTATTCCGTGTGTGTGAATGCAGACATTCTCCTGCTATGAGATACATGTATGCAAGGCCATCTGCTGATATTAGAGTTGATATATGGAAACTCTAGCAACTTAGTTAGCACAGTTAGCACTGTGTAAATGGCTTAGCAGTCCAACACAGTTTACACATTTAAACAGTCTTGTTTGATAAATGCACAAATAACAATGCAAACTTACAGGTTGTATACCCAGATCTTCCCCTGCTCCAAACGGTCCAAACAAGCTGTGCATATCCGGCCTCAAACTGGGCAATGTTTTGGAAGCTTTCGTCTGTGAAATGCCGGTTCTTCGAACCTCTGGAGGAGGAACACGCCGCTGCTGGTGTGGCCATAGCTCTTCGGGATTGGTCCATTTCGTTCCGGGTACCGCATGACATCAGGCGGTACCCGGAACTAAATGGAAGACTCAAATGGGCAGTGACGTATCTCCAACGAGGCGTTTTGGGGAGGTATTTTCTGTGTTAGAGTTTTACTCGCTACAGGGTGTACTTTGAGGGTTTTGACTCTGCACACCGTTTACATGCATAAAAACCTTCATAACACACAAGGGGACGGGTAATAACCGGAAAAGCATGACATGGGAGCTTTAACACACTACACTGCAGACCAGTCGGACTTGTTCCCCAACATGTTTTTATAGGGCGATGCAGTTAAATGCTGGTTACCATCGTGACAAACGGCTCGTTGGCTCCAACAAAAGAGACGCACACCAAACTGAGCAATGATAAACTGAATTTGATTAAAGTTAGTTACAAATTAAAAGTACAATGATGTATGGAGGATGGAATTAGTGATAATTATGAGGATACATTTACATCAATACCTCAGACTTCAGTATTTACTAGCAGGGTAAGAAGTAATCTGATCATTTATTAAAAAAAATGTATAGAATATCCTTTTTAAAAAGTAAAATGTATTATACAATTGGATTATAATTATTGATGGATAAATGTGTAGAACATTTTATTGTACTGCTTGTTAAATTACCCTGAGGTTTATTAAATCATAATTTAGTTGATATTTTTGGTGGAGAGGTATAAATACAAAATATAAAAGAAAACTCAAGTACAGTACCTGAATACATGCACCTTTTTCCTCTCCCTCTGTCATGGTCCTGTTTTGTGTGTTTTCTTTCAATACATATGTTGAATTAATGTGTGTAAGTTTCAGGACGATTCATAGTTTGATTATTTTTAAACATATAATTAAAGCTGTATTTCATGTTTTTTCCAACATTTTTATGTAGATATGTCTGCTGCCAGCTGTCTACTGGCTAAAGATACGTTTCTGTGCTCCATCTGTCTGGATGTGTTCACTGATCCAGTCACCATACCATGTGGACACAACTTCTGTAAAGCCTGCATCTCTGAACACTGGGACAGAAATGTCCAGAGTCAGTGCCCCAACTGCAAAGACGTTTTCAACCTAAAGCCTGAGCTGCACGTCAACACTTTCATCTCTGAGATGGCTGCTCAGTTCAGACAGTCAGCTCAACAGAAAGCCAGCAGCAGCAGCTCAGAGCAACACGTTTTTAAACCAGGAGAAGTTCCCTGTGACGTCTGCACTGGAACCAGACTGAAGGCCCTGAAGTCCTGCCTGGTGTGTCTGGCCTCCTACTGTGAGACTCACCTGGAGCCTCATCTGAAAAATGCAGGCTTCAAAAAACATCAGCTGATCGACCCTGTGGAGAACCTGGAAAGCAGGATGTGTTTGAAGCATGATAAACTGCTGGAGCTGTTCTGTAAGACCGACCAGGTGTGTGTCTGCATGCTCTGCACTGTTTTAGAGCACAAGACACATGATGTTGTTCCTCTGAAAGAAGGATATGAAGGAAAGAAGGCTGCGCTGGGGAAGACAGAGGCTGAAATTCAGCAGATGATCCAGAAGAGACGACTGAAGATTCAGGAGATGAATCGCTCAGTGGAGCTCAGTAAGGAAGGAGCAGACAGAGAGATAGCAGATGGTGTTCAGTTCTTCACCGCTCTGAAGGAGTCTGTTGAGAGAAGCCAGGCCGAGCTCATCGACACGTTCAAAGAGAAGCAGAGAGAGACAGAGGAACAGGCTGAAGGCTTCATCAAAGAGCTGGAACAGGAAATCTCTGAGCTGAAGAAGAGAAGCTCTGAGGTGGAGCAGCTGTCACGCTCTGAAGATCAGCTCCACCTCCTCCAAAGCTTCACGTCCCTGAACGCTGCTCCACCCACCAAGAACTGGACAGAAGTCAGGGTCCGTCCACCTTCATATGAGGGGACTGTGAGGAGAGGTGTGACTCAGCTGGAAGAGACGCTCAGTAAACAGATGAAGAAGCTGCTTGAGGTGGAGCTGAAGAGGGTCCAGCAGTATGAGGTGGAGGTGACTCTTGATCCTCATACAGCACATCCCAACCTCATCCTGTCTGATGATGGAAAACAAGTTAAACATGGTGATGTGAAGAAGAATCTCCCAGACAATCCAGAGAGATTTGATCATTGTTCTCGTGTTTCAGGAAAGAAGAGTTTCTCTTCAGGTAGATATTATTACGAGGTTCAGGTTAAAGGGAAGACAGGGTGGATTCTAGGAGTGGCCAGAGAGTCGATCAACAGGAAGGGAAAGATCACAGCGACTCCTCAGGATGGTTGCTGGATAATATGGCTGAGGGAAAATGAGTACACAGCTCTTGCTGGTCCTGCAGTCCGTCTCTCTCTGAATTCTCAGCCTGAGAAGGTGGGGGTGTTTGTGGATTATGAGGAGGGTCTGGTCTCCTTTTATGATGTTGATGCTGCAGCTCTGATCTACTCCTTCAATGGCTGCTGCTTCACTGAGAAACTCTACCCTCATTTCGGTCCGAGTCTTAATTATGATGGTAAAAACTCTTCTCCGCTGATCATCTCTCCTGTCAATCACACTGAGTAGAACAAACATTTGATCTTTTTTTTTCTTTCTTTGATGCCATTTACTAAAATTACAGGCAGATTTTTCAAAACAAAATGTATATCATGTAATGTCTCATTTATTCTAATGACTGCATAACCTGCCTTCAAGAATGTTGATTTAACAAACACAATGCACCAATGAATGAACACGAAACAATTGCATGTCCATTAATGTCTTGAGCCAAGGAAATTAGTTTTAATTGTCCAATCATTGTATACATAATACATTTTTGAACCTGCGAGGAGCTGCTGGCTCTATGAGAGAGCCCGATCTGCTTAAAAAAACAGTTTTCGTATAATACCTCTCACTGCCTGAAGAATAGACACAGACCAACGCTGCAAGTCTAACTATACTGTAGGGTGTTAAATAATAACTCCAATTCAAATTTCAATTGCCACTCATTTGGTGATAGCTAACTAGATAGCCAACATGTCGTGTTAGACACTACCACACTGTATTATTCAAAATCAATCTTATTCTCAATGCCACTGGTACATGTAGTGCAAAAGTTGCATCCACAAAATGCGGTTCTAGATATTTTTACTTTTATTTTTTTACAACTAAAGGCTTTAGAAAAGAGACGGTGTAGGAGCTAAAATGCTTAGTTAGCCTGTGTTTATTGTTTTTATTATTATCATTATCATTATTGTTTACACAGAACGCATTTGTTTTTGACCACTTCCAGTAGTTCTCCAGGGTGTGGTTTATGGTATTCAGGTCACCTCTTGTATGTCGGGGTTGGTGGAAAGACAATGGGGTAGTTTTTCCTACAACATTTTCTGTTATGTCCGTATAGTCCATCTTTAGTTATGGTTTGTTTTATTTCATTATTAAACAGAGCAATGAGCTGAACTGCGACTTCAATTATTAGGAGTTTAATTGCTGCAAAAAGGACATTTAACTAAACATTTTAAATGCAGAACTTTAATTGTAATTGAGTATTTTTTTTTTATTGCAACCTTATACTTCTACTCGAACAACAGCTTTGGAAACTTTCCAGATTACATCAGTAGCGCACTGATACACACTTTTATTGCACAACGAGCACTTCAGTTATGATAAAGTGCATTTTGATGAGAAAACTTGGACTTTTAGTAAATTATGGGAATACTTCCTCCAGTCCCTCTTAGTTTATGTTTTATTATGAGGAGTGTCTGGTCTCCTTTTATGATGTTGATGCTGCAGCTCTGATCTACTCCTTCACTGGCTGCTGCTTCACTGAGAAACTCTACCCATCCTTTTGTCCCGGTCTTAAAAACTCTGCCCCTCTGATCATCTCTCTTGTCAACCACACCGGGTAGAATATCCATTTGATGTTTTGTTTTTCTCTGATTCGCTACTTACTTCTATAATTTGCAGATTTTACGATTTACAGAATATCATCCACTGTCCAGTTAATTCTAATGGCTGCATTACCTGCCTTAAACAATGTTAATGTTAAATAATGTTTAACAATCTGCTTTTGTTTGAGATGTTTTAATGTATTAATTTGTACAATACTTGCAACAGAGATGTCAATCATTATAATTGAAAGGAACAGTGTAGTTTACCGATTCATTGTATGTTGTATGTTTGTTCATACAGCATTTGATGCATCAATGTGGTGTTTATTTGCCTATGAAGAGTATCATTAGGGTGCTTCATACCAGTTTCCTTAACATTATTAGGGTGTTTAATGGATGATATTTGCTAGATTCTGGGATCATAGGTTTAATGTTTATGTAGGACTATCATTAAATAGATCTACAATTTACATATATGCATTTAAGAAATTATTTTGGTCTTAGTTTGCCATTTTTTAGATCATCGATCCAATTTATTTGAACATGATTAATAACCATTTGTTAAATCACTGCTGATTCCTCTTGGTTTCTTAACAAACAAAACAAAAAGTTGCTGACTAAATGTGATGTAAACTTATAGAAATTGTGTTAATTCAGCATGCAATTGTCAATGTTGGGTTTCATGGATTTCTGTATTATTTAAGTCAAAACTATGAATCGGACCGACTGAATCATCTGTTTGTTAAAACACCAAAAAGTAGAAAGATCGGCATTTCATATCCTGCCTCACTGGCTCATATTTATCAACACAAAAGAGAGACTTAAAATATCTAATTAATTATCTAAATTAACATATTTTAAACACCAATCTCATTCACCAAAATATATATATATAAAATGGAATATATTGTGTTAATGTTTTTTTCTTAGAACTCACAGTTTAAGGGTTTTCTTGAGGAGCAAAACTGGCTTAAAATGTACAACAAAGCAATTCCTTGATTTTAATTAGATTAATTACAAAAAAATGGTGTTTAAAAAAAAAAGGTGTTTTAAAAAGAATGCTTACTTTTATTGATCGTTATTGTTTACCCAACACACATTTGTTTTTGACTACTTCCTGTTATAGTTACATGGGTGTGGTTCATGGTATTTAGGTCACTTGTATGTCAGGGTTGGTGAAAAGACGTAGGGGTAATTTGGCTGTAATATTTTCTGTTGACTGTATGTTCCATCTTCAGTTATACTGTAGTTGGTTTTATTTCTTTATTAAACATTATTAAACTTCACCACTGACTCTTTCTTTTGAATGTGTCACAGCAATGAGCCAAACTGAGCCAATAGCGACTTCATTTATTGGAAGTTTAATTGCCACAAAAAGTTTCAAAGGACCTTAATATTTTTGGGAGGAAAAAAAAGATTAATTAACCGAAAATTAAAAAGGAGATTAGTCACACTTTAATATATGCAAGGAATACAAACATGTAATTAAATAACACTTTAATTTCTTTCGACCTTATTTGCATCAAAGTTCATTCTTGATAATGCCGTTTAAACGTAATTTTTTTAACAATAGTATATTAAGGTCGATGTCTCTGTGCTGAATACAGGTGCAGTGAAAAAACTTGTTTACCTGGTTTGGCGTCCACACACTCACCTGATCCAGTCATGTGACCTCTCCCACATTCATATCGCAGCAGGTACACACTTGATGGCTCCAACTGTCAATCAAAAACTCTGCCTCTTACAATCAATAACACAAAATAAAAGTATATTAACATGAGGAGATTTGTATCCATCACCTGTCAGTGTTACAGCTTGATGTTCCCCACACTGCACTTTACCCTACAAATATATTATCTACAGTCAACAAGGAAATGTTGTCTTCTGTGTAACTATAACACTATTGGTATGTATTTAAACATGTTTTTTAAGCCTACTTCGGTTAAACTATTTTGGAGGCAAGTGATTGACATAGTAACTTTAAGGTCTATTTATACCTTCTTCATTTTAGAAAGACATTTATTTTCACTTCACATCAGGGCTATTTATGTGCTTTAGTTACTTTAAAAAAAAAAGATCTTACAACCAAACATGAAGTGCACAAAATAAATTAGTTAAGATGATCTCTTCTGTGACCAAAACAACACTAAAGTACCTCTTAGATGTTAATACATCAGTTATATGTATCCAATAGAACGAAGGTGTAGACTAGTTTAAATAGATTCATTTAATTGACATTTTAAATGCAGAACTTGTAATTGAGTATTTTCAGTGGTGGAGTAAATAAAGCTAAGTCCTGTTTCTCAAGTACAGTATTTGTGCTTTAGATTTTAGTATTTTATGCAACCCTACTTCTACTCTCGGTGACAGCAGAGCTTCAGTCGAGACACTCTGTTTGTTTCTCTCCAAAGAAACACTCGACTGAATCCAGCAGCTTTTCTCAACAACACAGCTTAATCTCTGCCAAACACTGGTGAGTACACAAAGACAAAATTACTATTCAATATTTGGTCAAATTTTTTAATCTGAATGTTTTACATACTTCATAAAGAATTGTAAACCAAAGATGTTGTCATTGAAAGATTAACAACAAGTATTAAACTGCTGAAACAAAACCCAGTGACTGAACTCTGGCTCGTGCAGATTGTACAGAATACATTCACAGCTAGCATTAGTTTAAGCTGATTTACAGACCTGTTTCCTGTAGTAACTCAGGAATCTGAAAAGCAAAACTATATTAAATCTAATATACTGAATCCAGAGCAGCAGCTTCTGTCTTTTCTTCTGCACGTTTATTGAGTCTGATTCTGTGCTCTCTGTATCATCATCCTCTCTCTGAAACTCCTCTTCCTCCTCATCGTCCAAGCTGACTCTCACCCATTGAAAGCCTTCAAACAAAGAAGGTGTTTTTCCACTTTAAATAAACTTAAAATAAAAACAGTCAATATTAATAAATGAGTTAAGTTCAATATTAAAGTGGAATTTAATACATATGTAGCTTACATTAAAGTAGTTTCACTCTAAAACAACAAGGAACAAGTTAACAGTGGTATATTATGTTTAAGTGTAAAAACATCTACAATACTAAAAACTTAGCCTAATATCTGGAAAATTGTTCAAACCACAGAAGGCTGAGGGGGGCTTGAGCTAGATGACTCTTCATATCTGCCCCATTATCCATTTGAACTAAATGAAACCTTTTAGAATTCCTTTAACAGTGAACGCTGTTTTTATCTGTGAATCAACAAGCTCACACGCCACACTGCAGACCAGTCGGACTTGTTCCCCAACATGTTTGTATTGGGCGATACATTTAAATGCTCGTTACCATCGTGACCAGCGGCTCGTTGGGCGGAACGAAGGATAAGAGTTGCATGAAAAATGTACCAATGATAAATTGATTATGATTTAAGTTAGTTAAAAATTAAAGGTACATTCAGGTTCTGAAGTTGGAAACAGTGGTGTCAATACAGTGGTTTATATGCACCGCATGTTGTCAGTGCAACAAAAATACCTTGAATAACAAAAAATAAACTATCAGTTTGACACATTGGATTTTGGCATCCATTACATGAATGCCTAATATGACTCACTCATACTGATGTTATCTCTTCCAAACTTCCTGCGTCACTGACAGCGTCCCAGGCAGGTATGCAGACCAGCTGTAGACATAGTGCAGACGGGATTTACAGGAGCCACAATGACCCATTGTTTAACTTTGAACAAATAATACAAAACATACTAAATAAAAATCTTGTTTTGCACACTATTTCAGAGTGAAGATATGTCTACTGTCATCTTTCTGCCAACTGAAGATCAGTTTCTGTGCTCCATCTGTCTGGATGTGTTCACTGATCCAGTCACCATACCATGTGGACACAACTTCTGTAAAGCCTGCATTTCTGAACACTGGGATAGAAATGTCCCATTAAAGTGTCCCAACTGTAATAAGCTCTTTTTCCCAAGGCCTGAGCTGCTGGTCAACACTTTCATCTCTGAGATGGCTGCTCAGTTCAGACAGTCAGCTCAACAGAAAGCCAGCAGCAGCAGCTCAGAGCAACAAGTTGTCAAACCAGGAGAAGTTCCCTGTGACGTCTGCACTGGAACCAGACTGAAGGCCCTGAAGTCCTGCCTGGTGTGTCTGGAGTCCTACTGTGAGACTCACCTGGAGCCTCACCTGACAAGGCCAGGCCTGAAGAAACATCAGCTGATCGACCCTGTGGAGAACCTGGAAGGCAGGATGTGCGTGAAGCACGATAAACTGCTGGAGCTGTTCTGTAAGACCGACCAGGTGTGTGTCTGCATGCTCTGCACTGTTTTAGACCACAAGACACATGATGTTGTTGCTCTGAAAGAAGAGTATGAAGGAAAGAAGGCTGAGCTGGGGAAGACAGAGGCTGAAATTCAGCAGATGATCCAGAAGAGACGACTGAAGATTCAGGAGATGAATCGCTCAGTGGAGCTCAGTAAGGAAGGAGCAGACAGAGAGATAGCAGATGGTGTTCATGTCTTCACCGCTCTGAAGGAGTCTGTTGAGAGAAGCCAAGCCGAGCTCATCGACACCATCAAAGAGAAGCAGAGAGAGACAGAGGAACAGGCTGAAGACTTCATCAAAGAGCTGGAACAGGAAATCTCTGAGCTGAAGAAGAGAAGCTCTGAGGTGGAGCAGCTATCACGCTCTGAAGACCAGCTCCACCTCCTCCAAAGCTTCACGTCCCTGAACGCTGCTCCACCCACCAAGAACTGGACAGAAGTCAGGGTCCGTCCACCTTCATATGAGGGGACTGTGGTGAGAGCTGTGACTCAGCTGGAGGAGACGCTCAGTAAACAGATGAAGAAGCTGCTTGAGGTGGAGCTGAAGAGGGTCCAGTAGTATGAGGTGGAGGTGACTCTTGATCCTGATACAGCACATCCTGAACTCCTCCTTTCCTATCATGGAAAACAAGTGAAAGATGGTAATGTGACGAAAAATCTCCCAGACAATCCAGAGAGATTTGATTTGTGTCCTTGTGTTTTAGCAAAGCAGAGTTTCTCTTCAGTTCGATTTTATTACGAGGTTCAGGTTAAAGGAAAGATTGAGTGGGATTTAGGAGTGGTCAGAGAGTCGATCAACAGGAAGGTAAAGATCGCACTGACTCCTCAGGATGGTTGTTGGGTGATATGGTTGAGGAACAAGAATGAGTACAAAGCTTGTGCTGGTCCTTCAGTCCGTCTCTCTCTGAAGTCTCAGCCTGAGAAGGTGGGGGTGTTTGTGGATTATGAGGAGGGTCTGGTCTCCTTTTATGATGTTGATGCTGCAGCTCTGATCTACTCCTTCACTGGCTGCTGCTTCAAAGAGAAACTCTACCCTTACTTTTGTCCTGGTCTTAATCATGGAGGTAAAAACGCTGCCTCTGATCATCTCTCCTGTCAACCACACCAAGTAGAACATCCATTTGATGTTTTGTTTTTCTCTGATACTTACTTCTATTATTTACAGATTTTACGATTTTATGATTTACAGAATATCATCCAATGTCCAGTTAATTCTAATGGCTGCATTTCCTGCCTTAAAGGTCTCCTATTATACTATTTTTAGGCATATATTATGGGTTTGAAAAACATGTCTATGTATTTTGATCAAAATACCAAACAGATCATGCATTTTAGACATCCCTCATATCCCTCTATTCCAGCCCTGTTACAGAAACGCTGATTCAGGGTCCGTAGCTTTACAACTGAACTCCGCTGATGCTGGCCCCGCCCCCTTTTGAGCACGGCAAGGCAAGCATAGAGTGGCGAAGTCCCTCCCCTTCCGGTGGACCTCCATGGGACCCTTATTTCGGAAAAAATATTTATTGAAGTCAATGGAGAGAGAAAGATTATCTTTCGATCCCGTTTGAATTGTGCCACAAATTACACATGATATTTGTCAATTTAAAAGATAATTTTGCAAGTCAAAAAAAAAAAAGTGTCGTTAAACTGTGAAGTAACACTTGTGTGAAACACTCAATGAACTACATCTCTTGCACAACAACACACGTCACCAAGATGGCCGTCACTACAGTCTTGTCAAAAAAGGGATTGACTCACCCTCACTATCACCACAATGAAACACGTCCAGAAGAATGTCATGCAAAGCTGCCTGCCTGCCTTCCTTTGATTCTCTCTGAACTGCCTGATCTTTTTAATGTTTAATGTCAACCATTTGTGAAGATAGCATGAAGTAGAAAAGATCGCCTATGCTAATGTAGCGTTAGCTTTAGCATTTCTCCCCCGGGCTTAAATGGTGTATTATAGAATGATCACACCAGTCTTCAAAGGGTTCACGAAATATGACTACTCTTACTGTTTAACATTTTGGGTTACTTAATGTTACTTCATGTTAAGGCTAATACAAATGACAAGGCTAAGCCGGCTGTAATGCTAACTAACGTGCTTGCTACTAGCTAGGTAGCTAACTTGAGCCAGCCACTCCTGGTCCTTTCATCAGACGGGAAGCGAAAGAACGAGCAAGACCCATTGCTGGTATGATAACAACCTGGTACTAAGCACACAGGCATCTTGTTAAAGTTATATTATCTTAGCTATCTATTTTAGTGGAGGAAAACAATTGTGACATCAGTTATGAGTGACATCACTTACGCGACTCTGGGATTTGTAGTTGCCTATTTTTCATAGTCTTATATTTCAACAGTTTTACGACAAACTGACTTTTTTGACATGGAAATGATTTTTTAAGATTGACAAACATCATATGTGTAATTCATGGCACAATTCAAACGGGATCGAAAGATAAGTTTTCTCTCTCCATTGACTTCAATACATAGTTTTTCCGAAATAAGGTCCCATGGACCGGAAGTAGATGGGCGTGACTTCACCACTCTTATTGAGGCCTCTCTGTAAAGATTCTCTGCCGGCAGATTGTCAGATAAATGCTGCCATGATTAAATGCCATAATTTGTTCACATCAAGGATTATTTCTGAAACAGTATGGAGCTCAAATACTTTTTCTCTTGTGGGTGTACCTCTAGCTGAGTATCTTTTTATTTCATGCTTTTTTTTTTTTATACACATACCCTTTCCAGTACAGGTTAGCTCTGAGTGTTAGCGATGCTAATGTAAACAGACAATATTACTTCCAAAACACATCATGCATTGTTTCCGATAGCAACTTTCTGATAGGGCCGTGGGCGTAAAGCCAGCCCACATTTCCGATATTACGTCATATCGGATGCAAATCTGGATCAGCTCCGTTCCCGTTTTTAGAGATTTGGGTACGGAGGAAGAGAGATGGTTTTATTTCCTGACACTTTGTGAGTTCCCTGACACACCAGGGACACATATCTATGCATAAAAGATGTGAAAATGTGCATTTTGCATGATAGGAGACCTTTGAACAATGTTAAACAATGACTAATCAGCATTTGTTTGTTCTGTGAATGTGCCGAATTAAATATTCATAGAGTTTGATTATTTTATAGACAAGTGTTATTCTGCACCAATATCTCAGAAAATAGATTTTCTAAATAATATTGAATCCGCTTACTTTTTAGATGTTTTTTTAGATGTTTTAGTATACTGATCTGTAAAATACCTGCAACAAAAATGTCAATTATTGCAATTGAAAGAAACAGTGCAGTTTAAAGATCCATTGTATAGTTCATGGATGTTCATACAGCATGTGATGCATCAATGTGGTGTTTATTTACCTATAAAGCGTAGCATTCGTGAGTTTCATAAACATTTTCCTAAGCATTGCTATGGTGTTTAATTGATGATATTTGCTAGAGTTGGGATCATAAGTTTGATGTTTAATTTACATCAATGCATTTAATTTAGTCTTTGTTTGATATTTCTTAGAGCTATCCAATTTATTGCAACATGATTAATAACCATGTGTTAATCACTGCTGATTCGTCTTGATTTCTTCAAATGAGCAGAGCTGAGTTTTCAAAAAGAAATAAAGATCTTTAACAGCATTTAATTCATTTTAAAGTTTTTATTTTGCACTTTCACCATTGAGGTCTCTCCTTCACTGTGATTGGTCCAACAGCCGTTTCCTGTTCCCACTGAGCCTCTGCAACACAGAAACATGACACCCTTAATGATTATTAAACATCACAGCCTCCCATTTGTACCTCAAAAAAAACATTTAGTAAAAAAGGTATCCCATAATGTATTGTATTATCTAAGTAAACAGGTTGAGGGACCTTCAGCATAGTTTTTTTAATACAAACATCCCCCTACGTTTTCACCTGAAAAGCTAAAAGTCTACTACGAAAGTAGGTAGCTTATTATTTTTTTTAAGTCTGTCGAGTTTACATTGTTAACCTTCTAAAAAAACATCCATACAATGTTTTGGCCCAAAAAATTGTTGGGTTGTATTATTGAAAGTAGATACAAATTCCCACAACTTAAAGACATAGAAAATTAGTTTCCAAATGAAAGGCCATGTCTAATTATTTTAACTTGACATTTTGCACAAACTTGTTATAATGGATAATATTGGTTAAGGATAATTCAGTTGAGGGTTGTCAAATGTTATAATAGAACATTAAGGTAATCATTTATAAAGGAGCTTAGAAAGTCAGTAATATATCAAAGTTATCCATCCTCACCGGATCCAGTCATGTGACTTCCTGTCCTACAGTCTGTGTCACAGCAGGAACACGCTCGATGGTTGCCGCTGGCCTCCCTCCACCTGTCAATCAAAAGCTCTGCTCCTTACTGATACAGTTTCTAAAATGTGGTAAATAAGAATCTAAAGCAAGGTGATAGATTTCGCTTTGACTTTTAGAACTTCAACAGGCAAACATGTCACATCGAAGTCATTTAAACCCTCTCAGATTGATGGACTTCGTAGTGTTTGCAGAACAAAGGATGATGGGAGTTGTAGTGTTGATAGAGTCTTACCCGTTGGAGAAGGAACAGGCCTTATTGGTGGCATCAACAGCGGCAGAAGCTGCAGCAGCTCTCACATTGCAGGTGATGTAGATCTGATGCAAAGGGGGTGTTCAATTGTCTTCTTAGAAAACAGCTATCATCTTATATAAAAACAGGAAGTGTGCGATATTTAAATCTCACCACGCCACGCTCATCCTGCTGAAACTTGAATGCCTCGACCTGAAACTGCAGTCTGTCTTCATACGCCCGTGGGAGGAACTGAGAGCTGGAGTCGGTTAACTGACTGTCAAACAGGCACCTGCACACAACACAGGACAGACAAGACATCTGAATGCAAAACAGTAGACATGCAAAACAGTAGACATACAAGACACCTGAACACATAGAAGGGCTTTAAGAGAGACACCTGAAAGCAACACAGGGGGCTGTAAGACAGACAAGAAAGTTGAAGGAAACGTAGCGCACATTCACGTGAATGCAACACAGGGTAATGTCAGACAGTCTAAACATGTAAACCAAAGAGTTAAAAAGATGCAGTCATAAATAATATCCCTTTCTCCCCAATAAAAAAAAAATACAGGATCTGTGATAATGCAAACATTTTGCCACTTCAAAACACAAAATGTCTCCTGCATCACTAATGGACATCTCTAAGTATGTGTGACCTAATAACTTTTCATATCACATTTAGTTTGTAATGCATTGAACAACTTTTTTGTATTTGTCTTGAAAATGATAGTCTTACTTTTGTTAAACTAAGTTTTAAAAAGAGAGTATTTATGGCAGTTAACTGACCCGTTGTTTCCCAGGAAGGCGTATCGGGGGACGGTGTCGATGTTTGGGATCACGGTGGCCACACAGCTGTCCACCATCACTCTGAGGGGGACGTGATGAAACTGTTTGACTGAAACTTCAAACTTCATCATGTCTCCCAGCAGGAACTGAGCGGACGGACGGGTCGACTGCCAATCATCTGAGGCAAAGAATAAACATAAACCTTTATTTGACTGGTAATCTAACAAAATACTCCAACAATGTTTCCTATTATAAGAAACCAACTGTTTTAAAAAAAAATTGTACAGTAGTGTATTCAAGTACTTTTTTTAAATGCGACAACTTCACTACATTAATATTATTTACCACTTGCATATGAATACAAAAAGACTGCAATGTGTCATTTTACCGTTTACAGATTGTTGCTTACTGGACTTATGAGCCATCTCAAATGCAAAACTTGTAATAAAGTATTGGCTTACAGTCGATTTCTTCTTTTATGTATTTTAATATACTTCTCGTCTTTAATGAATGTCAATTTTTACACTAAAAGGAAATTTAAAAAAAATCACTGGTCATAGAAATGTTTGAGTAGCATGGAAATGTACCAACAGGACATAGTAGAAAAGTCACTTAATATAATTAATGAAGCTGGAAAAGGAAACACCCACCAGTCATGAGTCTTAAAGAGAAGGAGAGTGTTTCCTCTGAAGATTTGGTGGCACTGAACGGATTCGATGTTGGATTCAACTGCACGCTGCTTACATCATGCTTCCTTAAAAAGAAAAAAAAAAACATTTTCGTAAAGTCCAGACATCAAGAACATTTTCATTGCAATTCATGGTACAATTTTTGGATAATTGTATGAGTAGTATTAAAAAACGGTAACACCAAAGTCAAGAAAATCCACTC